GCGGACACAACATCTTTGTTGGTATGTGGTGCTGAGGATCGAACCCAGGTCGCACGCATGCCAGGCGAGCGCGCTACAGCTTGAGCCACATCCCCAGCCCCCCAAACCTTCTTGTATTGTCTCACACATGAGTTTTGGGGGGACACCTCATATCCAAACCATAAGAGTACACAAAAAGAGGAGCATATTTAAAGAGAAGGAAAATATTCCATTCTAGGCCAGGTTGAATTTGAAATGCTTACAGTACATCCAAGTGGTAATTTTTGAGATATTTAAAATTGAGCTCAAGAAGTCAGAAAATATAAGTGAATGTTAGTTGTTTAATGTAGGTGTAATGTAAGTAAAAATATCCTAATAAAATACAGTACTTATTTTAAAGTAATATCAATGAGTTATAGACTACTTTAAAAATACAGCTAAGCAAAGGAAAATTAAAAATATACAGAGACATAACCATACAATCTTATATCTAGCACCCAGATATAAATTATAATAAAATGTGGTTACGTTTATATAAGGATGTACACAAATAATGGGATTATTTAAATGGGATATTTATACAGAGCATATGCTCTGTGGTAATAGGTTTTATCCATTCAACAGCACATCATAAAACATCTTTCTAGTTCAGCCAGACTCAGTAAGGCACGTCTGTAATCCTAGTGACTCAGGAGGCTGAGGCAGGAAGATCACAAGTTCAAGACCAGATTCAGCAACTTACAGAGGCCCTAAGCAACTAGCAACTTTGAGACCCTGTCTCAAAATAAAAAATAAAAAGGGATGAGGATGTGTCTCAGTGGTTTATCCTCATGGTAATATTTCTGCCTGATTGTTTCCTTGGAAGAAAAAATTCCTAATAGTGGGACTGCTAACTAAAATGTAATATTTTATATATATAGGTGTGTATAAAAAATATGTCATATATATGTAAATGTACGTTTGCATATTTAAGGCTTTTGATAGATATTGCCAAATCTTTCTCTAGAAAAGAAAGATTTTAGAGAAAAATCTCTAAAATCTCTAAAGAGATTATAGCAATTTACAATTCCTTAAGCACTATATTCAAGTACTCATTTTCCCACACTTTCTCCAAACTGTTAATATACTTAATCATGCAGATCTTTAAGAATTGTATAAATAAAAATGTAAATTGCATTTTTTAACATTTTCCATTTATTTGCTAGAATTTAAACTGTTTACATTTTATTCGCAATTTGTATTTTTCCAGTTTTCCTTTTGCAAACTGCTAATTGTTGTCCTTTGCCACCTTTTCTTTAGTAACACTTTTACCAATTTGTAAGAGCTCCTTATATGTTATGGACTTTAACCTTTAATCATTAATGCTACATTTTTTTTCTTAAGTGTAAAAAATAAGTTTGTCATTTGTCATTTATCTTAAGTGAGCATTTTGGTAAGCAGAAAAGTTTAATTATTGGAATTATAACACTAATGATTTGAAATGACTGTTTCGAGGAACAAGGGTAAGAGGTATCCAGAAACAAATAGAAAAACTAAAGCACTTTGTGAAAGGCTCCGCTGAGATGGGAGAACATGCATTTCCACTGGCTTTCACCTACAAACAGCAGCAGTGCTTGGTAACTTGGTTGCAGAAAGAGAATGGGTATCCACATATCAACCCTGCATAGAGATTTAGAAAGTAAAACCAGCCCTTCCCTAAAGGAAATCTAATCAGAACCTAGTCCCTTCCTTTCCAAACAACATCCAGAAACATCAGGAAAAACGAAACAAGAGCCATCTATCAAAAAATTTGAAACTCACTCAAATAGCACAGGAGTAGTTTGCTCTTGCAAATCATGCAGCATTTCCATGTATTTTTAAATGTCTCCTTTAATATAAAGAGTATCAATCTCCAGAAATGGTCTTGAGGAGAAAGTCAGCCATCTTCCTGAACAGTCAACTTTAGAAGGGACAAACATCAGACCCTTCCAGACTCACATATCTTCAGTGTTCCTGTCTCCCAGAAGAAGACTACCCACCCCTCAGACAGTGGCCCCAAACACAGAATGAACACACACACACACACACACACACACACACACACACACACGTAGAGAGAGAAAGTGAGCAGGATTCACTCAGGGTTTCATCTACTGGTTTAATTAGAAGCTGGACAAAGGAATGAGGTAGTCAAGTGTATTAGCTAGTGTTTTGTTAAAGTAACAGACCGCATGGATAGAACAAGAAACAACTTGCAGTAGGATTCTCCAGAGGAACAAAACCAGCAGAAAATGCATGTGTGTGTGTGTGTGTGTGTGTGTGTAATTATAAGAGGGAATTTATTAGATTGGCTTACACTGTCAGAAGCTAAATAGTTCCCCAGTGGCTGTCTGCAGGCAGGAGAATCAGGAAAAGCAGCTCTTTCTCAATCCAAGGAGCTAGAAGCTTCAGAAAAAGAGATGCCAATCATCTGTCCTCATTCTGAGACTAAAGTCCTGGAAGCCCCCTGGGGAGTGGCTGGTGCAAGTCTGCATTCAAAGGCTAGTGAATCTGGAGTCTGATGTCTACAATCAATGGCCACATTAAGAAATGTACCTGCTCCAGAAGAGTGGAGCATGCCTGTCTGAGAGCTTCCCTTTATGCAACTCTTTTGTTCCTTCCAGGTCCCCATCCTATTGGATGGTGCTGTTCATATTCAGGGCTGGTCTCCCCACTCACTTCTCTAACCCACGTGCCAACCCTCTCAGGAAAAACCCTCCACAGACACATCCAGAACTGTGCTTTACTCATTTTCTAGGCATCTCTCAATCCAGTCAAGTTGACAGTTAAGTATATTTACCGGATCTAACAAATTTCATTTTAGACATTCTATTTTCCATTTTCTTGCATTCTCTTTATTTAAAAAAATTATTTGTATACTACAATTATATGTAATAGAGGGATTTTTGTTGCATATTCTAAAGTTTCAGACTATTTTTTTCTTTTTTCTCTTTGTGTCGCTGGGAATTGAACCCAGGACTTTGCACATGCTAGGCAAAGGCTCTGACCCTGAGCTACATCCCCAGGCCTCCCTGCATTCTCTTCATTTAATCTTAACCTACACTTAAAAGCAGCACTGTCTTCTTGCATCACAAACAGCATTTCATTCCAGAAGATGGGGTGGAAAGACAGAAAGTTAGAGGGAATAGAAAAACAGTACCATGTACCCTTTCATCCTTGACAAAAATCACAAGATACACAGTAAACACCAGACCATTCAATGAGTTACCACATGCAATGGTCACAACTCAGGGTCATGCTGACCAAAATGGAAAACTGCCAAGTACCTCCTGTGCTGAACTGAACTCCAAAGTCCAGTAGTCTGTTTGCTCTCACCAGAGACAATTTTTTTTTTTTTTTTTGCAACAGCTAACTAGGGACCTTAGAAAATCCAGGCCCTCTTTCTAACACACCGCTACTTCATTTAGAGGACATCTTCACTGTAGAGTCAGGAGATTACCGTCCAATTGCTTATGAAAACATGATGTCAGAATTTTAAACATCTCTATTCTAGCTCCAGTGTCCTCTCTCCCCAATAAAACCTTGAAGAAAGAGAAAAAGTGAAATTCCTCTTATGTGTGGGTGACCAGGGAAGGAGACAGCAGTCTTCTGTAAGTAGGGTTAGGAGGTGACCAATGGCCTGGGCTTCACTGAGCCAAGAACACAAAACCCTGGATATGAGTCACATGCGAACTCCATATCTCATCTTGCCAACCACAAAGGAGCCAGCTAGGTAAGCCCTGAGAAGTCCCCTTTCTGTAGTCAGGTTCCACGTCATCCACAATCCTCTCACAAAGAGAAGCCAGGAACTTCCTTTACCAAATTTCCTTTGGTTCAGATTTGCCACTGTAAATAGAAATGTCAGGTCCTACACTTTAACTCAGGTCACCATGTGTGAACTCTGGCTAGAGAATCAGAAAGTAAAACCCAAAGGAAATTTCCCAAAGGAAATTTTATCAGTACCCCAGTCCCTTCCTTTTCATACAACATCCAGAAATGTCAGGAAAAAACAAAACAAAGGCAGACTCTTAAAAAAATTAGAAACTCATTCCTTGTATATGAACAGTATCAGGTGTCCAGAAATGGTCTGGAGGAGATGGCCATCTTCCTAAGGAGTGAACTCTGCACCAAGAAAGAGGAAATATTGGATGATTCTGGACTTACCTTCTGTCTCCCTCTCTCCCAAACACCTCAGGCAGCCCCCCAGAATGAAACATACATAAACGCGCACGCACACACACACACACACACACACACACACACACACGTGTATGGCTGAGAACTGCAGAGAAATCACCAGGCTAAGGTACTCAAAGCCTCTTTCCTCATCAGAGTTGATGCACAATGACAGGAGCCAACAATAGGCCCCAGGCTAGTTCACTCGCTTCTACTGAAAGGAAACTAAATATTTCCAGCAAAATAAAGCTCCTAGAACCAACCCTTCATCCACCAAATTAGAAAATGCCAATCTTCACTTCTAACCGGAAGACCTTTCATCTCAAAACTCAGCAGAGACACAGCCTTTGCTACATACAGTTCCATTGCATTTTTCTCCTAGTATAAGATCAGAGATGGTCACCCAGGAAATAGCCCTGGACCAGGACCTAGGCCTCAGCCCTGAACCCGTAGAGAACAGGCACCCACCTGAGACAAAGGAGTAGGCTGCCAGGATGTTGCTGAGCAGAGCCATCTCCACGTGCTCCGCAATCACTGGCTCGGTGCTGTGGCTGAAGGGGAGCTTCATGCTGCATCCAGCAGAGACTTCCCGGAGACGCTGCAGCTGAATCAACGGGGCCACACTCCTTCTCTTCTCTTCTGTTTAGAAACATAAAGTGAGGGATGAGGTACATTTGGCTTTCTAGGGACTGTGTTCCAAGTAGCCTAGGCTCAAGAACAAAGAGCCATCTCCTCAATGCCAGCCAACTTTCCCAGCCAGGAAGCCACAATGACCCAGGGTCTTGTCCTCTTTGTTCAAGCGAGCTTCTTGGTTTTCAAGGATGCAGTAACTCTTTATATCTGTTTTTCCCAGCCTTTCTCCTCTCTCTTCCCCATCTCACTACTCCCCACKTTAGCACATCTCTCTTACCTGTCCAAGTACTCTTTCTTGTATTCTCMCTGGTTCACCTTTGAGGAACTGTCCACTGGGTTCAAATCCCCATCACCTTAATCCCTGCACTATAACCCCAAGCCACAGTTTGCTCCTCTTCTCTTCTTTCCCCTGCACTGACACTTGTGTACCTTGATCAGTTTGCCTTATCCCTCAGGTCAAAAACTGTGTACCCTTGGCAGTGGGCCAGAGCTGGCTATCCCAGAGCTGCAAAAGTCATTTGAGTTCGAAAATATTCCTGAGAATTTAAGAGCTCAGCCGGCTCACTGACCCCAACTCCATGATTCCGCCTGTGCCTGTGCTGGGCCATCCACAGACATGCACAGACCATCCACTGACAGAACTATCCCTCTAGGGGTCAGAACCGGGACAGAGATCTCAGGGTCCAGTGATGCTGCCTTTGGCTGCAGGAGCACATCCCTTCCCCACCATGGTCCTCAGACCCAGCATAGTCATTACCGAGTTCACTAGGCAAATACGTCCAGAAAAGCCCCTAAAGATGGAAGGAGAGAAATGGCAAGGACCCTGGTACTTGCATTTGAGGCTGCTGTGAGCTGAGGCCAGGGAAGAAACTTGGGCTCTCAGTGGATCACAGGGGTCAGTAACATGGGCCACACTGAGATGGCCTGGAGAGCTGAAATTCCATAGAYGGATGGAGTAGGTTACAACAGAAAAGACAACTGTCACTCTGGTAAGTTCCAGCAGGCTTCAGGGGAAAATAAAACAAAGCTCAGATCAACAGAAACAACCACAATAATCTGGGAGCCCCTGAGTGGCAGGATGAAGAGTGGGAGCTTCAAAAACTCTGAGAAGGGTCTGGCTACTGTTGCGAGACCTCCTGAGCCCAGGGGGCAGCGTAGGGTCTCCTTCAACAGCCTTCTGAATTCCTAAGAGGTGGTAATCGGATGGTACAGGTGGAGGGTTAGAAATACCAGCCTGAGTTCAGCAGGTGTGAGGACCCCAGGATCCAGGAAGAGAATGAAGTGACTACACTCTGTCTCCAAGTGCAGTGAGACAAGGCTGTTTCAGATCCAGACCCTCCTGCCTGTCCCCCGGAATGGTACATAGTGCAGATCTCACCTGTTCATGCCTGGAAGTGTTCAGCAGTCTCCTACCTTGTCTTTGTTTTGCTGATGCCTTCTTCCTGCTCAATCTCACACCCACTCTCACCCTGAGCGTCATCTTTCCACAGTACAAATATGATCACATCATTCTGGAGCACAACCTTGAAGCTCATCTCCATTAAGCTTCTTAACATCATATCCACTTCCATAATATCTGACACCCGCCTTAGCTCCTCATTTATCTCCTACCCAACTCAGACACATGTAGACACAGAGAAACTAGCTTGCTTAAAGCTCAGAAAATTCCAGATGATTTTCAATTTCCCATGTGCACCAAGCTTTTTTTTTAACCTCTCATGTGTTCAATCATACTCTTCCTTTTGCCTAAAATGCCCCTCTTCCCCTCATCTGTCTAGCAAATGTTTCCTTCAAGAGAGAATTCAAATATTCTATTCTATGGAAACCTCAAAATCCCACTGATTTTTTTTGGCAGAAACAGAAAACTTCACATTAAAATTCATCTAAATATCAAGGAAAGAGAGCCAAAACAATCTTGAAAAATCTTCTTAATAAAACAAAAGAACAAAGTTGGAAGTCTCTCACTCTTCCTGATTTCAAAATTTATTGCAAAGTACAGTAATCAAAACAGTGTGGGGTTGGTACAAAACAGACATGGAKACCAATGGAACAGAATTGCATAAATAAACCTTAACATGTATGTTCAAATGATTTTCAACAAGAGTACCAAGACCGTTCAATGGGGAAAGACCATGTTTTCAGCAGTGTTAGGAAAACTGGATAGTCATATGCAAAAGAATGAACTTGAACTCTTAACCCCCACCACAATAAAAAATGAACTAACAATGGATCAAAGAGCTTAATGTAGCAGCTAAAACTTTCATAAAACTCTTTGAAGAAAATAGGGAGGAAGCCATGGAATGATGTGATCATATTTGTACTGTGGAAAGATGACGATCATGTTGAGAGTGGGTGTGAGATTGAGCAGGAAGTGAATTTCAAAATGATTTCTTGGATATGACACCCAAACACAGGCAACAAAAGTAAACATAGGTAAATTGTACTCCATTAAAATTAAAAACTTCTGTGTAGCAAGCTGGGCACAGCGGCACATACCTGTAATCTCAGAGACTTGGGAGGCTGAGACAGGAGAACTGCAAGTTTGAGGCCAACCTCAGCAATTTAGTGAGAACCTAAGCAATTTAGCAAGATCTTGTCTCAAAACAAAAAATTAAAAAGGGCTTGGGATGTAACTCAGTGGTAAAGTTTCCCTGGGTTCAATCCCAGGACAAAAAAATAAAATTTAAAAAAAAAATCTGTGCATCAAATGACAAAATAGCATGAAAGGCAACCCATGGAATGGGAGAAAACATTTGCAAATTATACATATGATAATACATATAATATATAATATAATATATACCCATTATATGTTTTTTAAAACTCCTATAACTTTACAACCAAAAAAAACTCTATTAAATAATTGGCAAAGGACTTGAACAGAAAATTTTCCATAAATATATAAATAGTCAATAAGCACATGAAAAAAATGTTCAACATTACTAACCATGTAGAGAAATAGTAGGTATAGAGAAATTAAAACTCTTGTATACTTTTGCTGGGAGGGGAGGGAAGTAAAATTGGGTAGCTGTTATGGAAAATAAAGTGGTGATTCTTCAAAAAGTTTAAAATAGAATTATCATATGACTCAGTAATTCCATTTCTGTGTATATACCCAAAAGAAATGGAAACAGAGATGTGAATAGAATTTGTAAACAATGTCCAGAGTCGTATTACTCACAATAGCCCAAAGATGGAACCATCCAAGTGTCCATTTACAGAGGAATAGATAAACCAAATGTGGGGCATACATATAATGCAGCAGTATTCACAGCCTTAAGTGGGAAAGAAAGTCATGCTACATCAGAGATGAACTTTGAAAACATTATGCTGAGTGAAATAAGCCAGTCACAAAAAGAAAAGTACTTCATGATTCCACACATATGAGTAATCTGCAGTAGCCAAATTCATAAGGATAGAAAGTGAAATAGAGGTTGTCAGGGATCAGGGGAAGTGGAGCAAAAAGAGTTATTATTATGGGGTACAAAGTGAAAAAAGTTCTAGAGCCAAGAGTGGTGGTACATACCTATAATCCCAGCAACTCCAAAGGCTGAGGCAGAAGGATCACAAGATCAAGACCAGTCTCCACAATTTAATAAAGCCCTAAGCAACTTAGCAAGATCCTCTCTCAAAATAAAAAAAAATATATTTTACTTTAAGTAAAGCACMCCTGGGTCTAATCCCTAATACCAAAAAGAAGAATGGGGGAAAAAAAAGAGTTGGAATGGTGGTGATGGATGTAAAATAATCTAAATAAACTTAATGCACTGAACTATACACATAAGGTAAGATGGCAAATTTTATATAAATCCTCCCACAATTTTAAATTAGTAATTATTAATAATTTTAACTTGATAATTATTGATAATTACTATAATAAGGTGTTAGGTATGACAGTGAATTTTGAAGATTACTTCTTGTAGTGAATCCTACAGTCAAGTTTTGGTTTCCAGTTAGTAGGAATGATAGCAGAATTATTTTTTAGTGGTATTAAAGTTGAAGTACATAAAATTCTAATTCACATCACATTATGAATATGGTTTCATTCTAAGTAAAAATCTTACATTAAGAAATTGGGTAGTAAGTAAGAGTAACCCATCACATTTATAGATTAGCCAACACAAAAATCATCATATTAATAGATGGAAAAATGTATTTGTGTTAAAATGTTCTAAAAATTCATGATCCAAAAAAGATCTACCACAGTGAAGCTCTCTCTGAGCTCCCCAAATGCCTCTCTCTGGCTATCAAGTATCCAAATATTCTTCTCCTATCATATCTGTAATAGTACAATTGGAATTGCCACTTGACATGTTTGCCACCAAGTACCTAATATGATCCTTGATGAAAAGAGGGTCTCAAGAAATGCTGGCTGGCAGGACAAAAGGACAGATGAGTAAAAAGAGCAGTTAGGCACGAGGTCTGTATTCCTAAATCTTTGAGGGCAGGTCTGACAGATCTGATTCTGTGTGGGCCACCAAGCAGCACTCCCTCAGGACTGTGAGAGGACCACAGGTAAGCTAGACCCTCACTGTGGTGCACAGACTTTCCTCACAAGTCTCCAAGCCCCAGATGCCAATGTAGAGAGATGCAGGAACCAGGGGCAAAAGGAAGGCAGATCAAAGCTGAGGAAAGACCACCTCAGGATGGCCCATCCTAAAGGGCAGCCTCCTTAGAAGAGCCACCATGGTCCACATGGTACAAACCAGCCGAAAGAGGTCAGCACCTCTTTTCCATAAAGGGCTGAGAGCAACTAGTTAGGCTTTGAAGATCCTTAAAGTCTCTATCACAATTACTCAATTTTGCCAAGCAGTAGAGAAGCAACCACATATGATGTCAATGAATGAGTGTGACTATCCAATAAAACCTTATTTACAAAATAGACAGCGGTCTCATTTTGGCCCACAGCATAATTTGCAGATGCCTGGCCTGGATCCTTATTGCTCAAAATATGATCYAAGGATCAGCAATATCCATATTATTTGGTCATTTGTTCAATCTGCATAATCCTGGGCAGCATCCCAGACTCACTGGATCAAAAAATCTCCTAAGAGGCCCAGGAGAGTTTGGGAAGTACTGCTCTACAGGACCTTTGTGTCCCCTTCAGCCTGAGCACTATGATGCCACACAGTAGCAGAAATCCCAGCGAGTTTCACTTAGTGCCTTCTTTATCAATCTCATCAGAGATGGGAGGGCTTGTCCTTACTAACCTGGCAGATAGCTCAGCTCTCAGCATTTACAGAGTACCCTAGTGAGAGCAGGGGCCAGAGGAAAAGACACAGCAGAGGGGAGTTTTAAGGGCAGCTGCGCATGAGACAGGCTTGTGGTGTTACAGAAGTGATGAACCATAGAGCCAAATTCTACTCCCAAATCCTTCTCTCTGAGCCCTCCCTCAATAGAGAGGGACCTGCTTCAGGTAGCTCTAGACACTTCCCATTGGCAATTTACCCTGTAATTAAAACATCTCTGCATCTCCTACCAACATAAAGGTAAGGAGCACGAAGCACACACATACTGCCAAGTCCAACATTATCCTCAGTTCCTCTAGGAAGCTTCTGGTCACTGGTTGGCTCTAGAACAGTAGTTCTCAACCCTGGGGCTGTTTTGTCTCCCAGAGGACATTTGACAGTACCTGGAGATCTTTYAGGTTGTCACAGCTACTGTGTGCCTGAGTGGGGGATTGATCCACAGAATAGGAGTTAGGATTGCTACTAAATATCCCACAATACACAGAACAGGCCCCTGATCCAAAACGTTCATACACCAATGATGAGAAACCTGCTCTGGAAGAAAGATCCCTACTTTATTGACCAGCCTAAGTAATTCTCAGGGCTTTTGTTTCTCATGTGCATCACCAACACAGTGAAAAGGGTGGCCAATAGGGGAATGCTTAGCAACTCCCACTGCCTTGACCAGAGTAGTACAGCTCCAAACTCTGGGTCAGCAATGTTCCCAGTGACCAGAAGTGAGCAGGCTCTGGGTCACAATCACAAAGTCCTCCAAAGAATGCATCATCAACCAACATTGGCTCATTTTATTTGTTTATTTTTGTGTGGTGCTGAGGATCGAACCCAGTGCCTCACGCATGCTAGGTAAGTGCTCTACCACTGAGCTACAGCCCCAGCCCAACACTGGCTCATTAATTAAACTGGAAAGCCACCTGGCACAAGATCTGATTAGGTCCTCCTCAGGACATGTCAATGCTGGGGACTATGTTGGCAGGAGTAGAATCATAACTATGCCATATATTTTCAAAGCGAAGGCTTTCTCCCAGTAATAACCCATCGTATTATTCCCACACCATTCTAGAGAAAAAAAAAAAACATTTCTAATGAACACTCTAGGAACCAGCATCACAGTGCACTCTCTAGACAGCAGCGACCAAGACTTACCTTATTCTACAACAGGTTTTCTTCATCCATGGCCCAAAATTTCTTCACCTCCTTACTGATGAACTGCAGCACAATTGAAAGAAACAGCTTCTTTCTATCACTTACACCCAAGAATCTTGTCTTCCTGACCACATGCTGCTCTCTTGATGAAGATGCAAAAAACCCTGTCTTGTAAACACTTCCCCGTAGATTGAATGGCTAATTGGATGCATGGTGTGTTGTTCTTACTGGCTTTCGTTTTAAAGGTAACCTCATTCCCATTGCTGCAGATTTATATTCTCTGCAGCCTTGAGTCCACCCGTCTATACTGAATGTAATATCTAAATGGCAAAGTATAAAATGAAATGTACCTGGAGAGAGTATATTTCATCTTATGTTTCCGTAGCAGCAGTGAGCATCCCCTGGTGTGTGAGCCCCATGCAGGTGACTATCTCACTACATAGCACTCAGGGGGTAGTAATCTCATGATTGCTTTAACTACCAGGGGAATGGTGTGCTGTCAGGAACAAAGAAGTACCTGGTAGGAGCAGATCATCCCTGTTGATGTTGGTTTCAGCCAGTAAAGGATCTAAATGTGGATGGTACCAGTTGACTTCTCAGACTCTGTAAGAAAAAAGAGGTGACACAAAGCCATCACATATCTAGAAGATCACATCATACCGTAGACCAGCTGTTGACATGAACCCAAGAGAGAAGTTCTGGTGGTGTATGTCTTAATCTCTGGAGAAACAGGCAGCATTTCCTCAAAGGAGAAAGGCCATTGCCAAAGTTTAATCTGGAATGTGGATTAGACACCCAGGGAAGCCAACCTCCCAAGGTCACTGCAGAAAGGAAACCAGAGGTAGAAGATCAAAGACATGTGCTTCCTCTTCCCGCTCATCAGCCAAAAGCCATTCAACAGCTAAAGAAGAATGCTTCTGGCCCTTCATCAGCAAAATTTGGAGGTTGACCGCTCTGGAACAGGAAGGGAGGGAATTTGGTTCCCAAACAGAATGCCCAGGTGAACCACGAAATGCAGACTCCTGCAGCTCTGTGAGTACTGGAAACCTATCAATGCTGATGTGTGTATTCCCACAGCCCGTTGCTTCTCTAGAGCTGATAAGCCCCTGCAGATGATATATCCACCATGGTAGCCTGCCAGTCACTGGGGCTTCCTTTGTTCCCACAATTTGTCCTTCAACGCACCACAGCACATCAATTCCAGGGACATATTCTGGACCCTGACATCATCTAGAAAGGTTTTCAGCTCTGAGGCTGGAGCTGGGAACCCTTTAAGGGCAGGGACCATGTCTTAATTTCTCTCCGTTCCCAGAGCCTCCCACAGTAACTGTGCTGAGCTAATGCTCAGTRACGGCTGGATGAATGACTCACACTCAGAAATCCCACTTTTCAATCAGCACCTTTATCCTACTTCTCCACACGCTGAATCAAGGTCAGTGTTCTGCAACTTCTCTGAAGTTTCTTCTTTATGCTCATCAAGTTTATCATCCTCATCTTGGGCTCACCTGTCCTCCACACAGCCTGGCTACTCAACTGTACCATGCTCTGTGCTCTCCGGGACCCTTCTGCTGCCTTCCCTACCTGCAAGGCCTAATTCGCAAACCACTCCAGCCCTCACCTGCCTGCTCTCCTGCCCACCACCCAGGTGCTTCTGAAAAAAAAAATCATTTGTCCTTGAATCACAGCAAAGGTTGAGATTATGAAATCCACCATTCTGCCGCAGTCTGGCTGGGCACAATTCAGGAGCCACTTGTCAAAAGAAACGAACTTTATTTTTAGAACCACACACGCCAAACAAAACAGCTCCTCAGGAAAAACCCTCAGAGCCCAACTGCCACCACTGGCTTCCCACAAGCCTCTCACACTAACACAAGCCTCCCCCACTCCCCCAATCCTCCTGCTCTTGAGGCCGATTGGCTGGGTCACGTGGGCGGAGCCAAAGAAGTCCCCCAATGAGCAGCTCTGTGGTCTGAAAGGGCATGGAAACACCCCAATGAGCATCACCGCARAGGAGCCAATYAGCTAGATGTTGCTGGGGCCGATGTGAGCCAATCATCAGCTGGAAGTCTGAAAGGGCAGGGAAACAGCTCAATGAGCATCTCCAATGAACATCACCGCAGAGGAGCCAATCAGCTAGATGTTGCTGGGGCTGCTGTGAGCCAATCATCAGCCGGCAGCTGGAAGTTTGCTGGCAGCTGTAAGTTTGCTGGGGCCCCTTCGGCTGTGGCTCACAACATCTCTGTGCATTCAAAGGCCTTGATGTTGCTAAGAGAACCTACATGTATTCCTGAATCTCACTCTCTCAGTGTTCCCATTTCCCAGAGAAAAAGGACCAAATGCCTCCTTTTTTTTGCAAGCTCATTTCTCCATCCTCCCCTCTCTCCGTCTTCCAAGCATATATACAACATATGTACATATGTGAGTACACACATGTATACATGTGTATGTGAATTTGTATGGGTGTATGTATATCTTTCACTCTCAAATACTTTCTTGTTCTTTCCCAGTCATTCTCTCAATCTTTCAATTTGACATTATCTACTATAAACTCATTTAATTGCCTCCACCCTTACATGATCTTCCCTTTGCTCACCACCCCTATAGTTCCTTGTCACTCACTCTCCTTCCCTTCAAAGCCTAACATCTAGAAAAGCCAAATATGCAGAAACTCACACTTCTTCATTTCATTGCTTCTATCATTCAGTTCTCGGCCTGCAAAAGTTGGCTTCATAACCAGCCTATCTACCAAAGTATCATTGATAAAGTGGCCGTAGTAAAGGAATCATGGTCTCCAGGATGGAGACCATGACCTCCTGCTGTGTGGGACCTTGCATCTCATCCTTCCCCATTCATGGTGGCTAGCACAGTACCTGGCACATAACTGCTTTGAAAGAAATTGTGTCACATAATGGGAGTCAAAATTATGGGGTTTATACTGCCAGAAACAGGCTTTAAAACAGAACCAACAGTTTCTGAACCATCAGTGACATTTTTATAAGACACCAACAAGACCTTTGTCTTGATTTGAGCCTAACAGCTGAATTACAGAACCAGGGTTTGGACCTACTTTGGCYCCAGACAATACACACATGAAGGTCACAGACCATAGGAGTCCCAATGCCTGGAAACTTCACAAAGGATTGGGCAGAGGTCAGTATTAGGAATAAGTTACCCAATGTTAGGAATGGCTCTCCTACCCTATAATGCCTTTTAGCCTGCAGATAGATGACCATCCTATCCAAGGCCAACACTGCTTGTCAATAAATATTTACTAAGCCCCACTGAAAATCATTAATTTATCTCTGATATGAGGATCCTGACTCATAATGGGGATGGGAGGGGAGCATGGGAGGAATGAAGGAACTTTAGATAGGGCAAAGGGGAGGGAGAGGAAGGGAGGAAGCATGGAGATAGGAAAGATGGTGATTAAATTAGACATCATTACCCTAAGTACATGCATGAAGACAGACAGACACACACACACACACACACACACACACACACACACACACACAGCTGTGCTAGAACATCTAAGAGTTAAAAAAAAAACCCACACATTTATTTAGCTGCTACCAACAAACTTAGAATATCCTTTGAATGAATCTAGAAGTGAATAAATGTGACCAGTAATAGAGAGATTTGCAATCTAGCTACATACCATGGAAACAAAATAAAACATAAAAGCAATGTAAGTTAACTTATATAGGGAAGGTTTGGAAAGAGTAATGAAATACAATAATGAGTAGCAATGGGAAAAATCCATAAAGACTCCATAGAGAAGTTAACTAGTCCAGGTAAAGAATAATGAGCACCAAAAACCAAGGGCATAAAGTAACTGAAGAGGCTAGCAACCCAGAAACCAAACCCAACAGGTACAGACAAACAAGCTAAAAGATACCCAACAAATACCTGCTCCCTTTAGCCAAAAGACCAGGAAAGGAGCAGTCTAACATGACAGGAAGCTTTTAGACAACTACTTTGCTCTAGCCAAACACCACAGGAAAAAAACTGACAACACCCACACCAGCAAAGCCTGAGTGAGGAGTCTAGACTTCCACCCTTAAGAGACTATATAAAAAGAATCCCCCACAGTTCTGCCATATTGATGTCAGAGAAGGCCAAGGAGGGAGATGAGTCTTTCACCCACGACAGTTGTTAATGAGCCACCCTTGCTGGTAATACCAATGGAGACCAGATGGGAAGCTCAGACCCCCACCCTGTCTTTGTCCATTTTGTGTAACTTTAACATAATACCACAGATCATGTAATTTATAATGAATAAATGTAGTTGTCTCACAGTTCTTGGTTCTAGAAAGAGCAATATCAAGGTGCCAGAATCTGGTGAGAGAATTTTTGCTGTGTCATCCCATGGCAGAAGGCAAAAGGGCAAGAGAGGGTGAGAGCGAGAGCAAGGGGCAGACTAAACTTGCTCTTATAGCAAGTCCACTCACTCAGGTACTAACCCATTCATGCAGTAACAACCATCCATTCATGAGGGCGGAGCCCTCACAACCTAATCACCTATTATTAGGCCCTATCTCCCAACATTGCTGCTTTGGGGAATCAAGTTTCCAACACGTAGTCATTAGAGTACACATTTAAACCACACACACCCCTACCCAGAAATAACTAGGTACCCCTCCCCTTCCTTGTTGGGGTATCAGAGGAGGCCTTGTGAAGAGTCAGTATTCTTATCACCATCAGTGTGGTCACAAGCCCCATATCAGAGGAGAACACTATAATACAGAATTCCCATCAAGCAATAATGAGGCGCCAATCAACAGAAGCCAACACCAAGACAACAGAAGATAAAATTATCTGACAAAGATTTTTAAATGCCCATTAATAAAAATGCTTCACTGATCAATTGTGAAGATCTTTGAAACAGATGAAAAAAAAATTGAAAGCCAAGAAAAAGTCTGAGCCAAGAAATAGAAGATATAAAGAAAAAATAAAATTATAGAATTGAAAATATAGTAACCAAAATAAAACACTCAGTAGACAAACTCCATGGCATAATGGAGAAGTCAGAGAAGAGAATCAGTGATCTGAAAGACAACACTACTCAACTGAGCAATGGAGAGAAAACAGACTAGAAAAAAAAATAACAAAATCTTAGAGACCTACAGAATCAGGACAAAAGATCTGAAATTTGTGTTATCAGTTTTCTAAATTGTGTTGAACAGGCTAAGTAAAACTTTGATGCTCCTGATATGATTCTAAATGAATAAAAAGGAAATACCTAAGATAATATAAGTTATAAATGGAGGAGGGCAGAGAGACATAGATGGGAAGGTTCCTCATATTCCACTCAGACTGGTGAAATGACACCAGAAGACTGTGCTACACACATATATTGCAATACCTAGAGCAACCACTAAGAAAATTAGACAAAGACACACAATGGAAATCACTATAGATAAATAAAAATGAAATTCTAAAACAAATGCTTAAGTAGCACAAGTAAGAACAGATGGAAAATAGAAAACAGAGAAAGACCAAAACCAAAACTAAAAACAAAAAATCCCACAGAGGAAAAAAAAAAAAAGAAAATGACAAACTTAAGCCTGAATAAATAATAACTACATTAAATGTAAATGATC